CTTCCGAAGTCCTGAACACAAAGTAGTTCCCGGGAAGCCCAAATGGACAAACCTTTAGGGTTTAGATGCGTGCATGAAAGTTTAGACTTTAAAATTCCTGAAAGAACACACGTCGGGACTGGACACTTTCGGTTCAATGTTTAAGCTAAGTGCTTAAGTTTTGTTGCTTCAGGGGCTTGGGGTTTAGTCGTTTAGTAGGCACCCGTTGAGATTCATCGATAAGCATAGCGCTTTTCGTGCCAAGCTCAAACTCGACAGGTGGAGAACCAAGCTACTATAGAAGGCTGAATATCTAAATTAATCACGTTTCCTTCCGTAATCATTTTAAGCGTTATTCTAGTTGTTAACTCTCCCTCCCCCGCCTACATTACTTTTTGAAGCCCTGCCGTACAGCATATGGGTTTGGGGTTTCAGGGGATTGTGAAAATTCGTACTGATGTGAGTGTCCAGGACTGCAATTTGTAGTGCCTGGACCTTGTAGGAACCGCCTAAACGCCTGCACCCTAAACCCTAAACCTTCTAATCCTACACCCCTCAACCCTAGATCATGTCGGCCAGTTCTGAAGCGCTGCAGATGGCAGAAGTGTCACGTGATTCACTTCTGGATGATATTGATCATCGTCAGAGGCGTCTATTACTCGATATTGTTACGACAGAGGACTGACGGCTCGAACTCGCACATTCATTGAGAAGGCGTATATGGAGTGAAACAGACAACATCAGTGTCCGATACACAATGTCAGCGCCGGGCGAGGTGCCTCGCACTCCAGTTGGGACCCAGTTAATGCCAGAGAAGGTGAGAGAATGCACTGACGCGCATTTAAGAAGCACTTTTGGCTTCTATGGCATAGGCACGGGAACGATCAGGCAGTCGGAGCCTTTTGCTACCTCGGACAGGTAGTTGTGTCGCTTTCGGTCTGATTGGCCGATGAGGGATCATTCTATACTAGTTATGGAGACCGCTGCCTAGAATACAGTTTGAGAGTAAGGACTCACCACATTTACTGATCCTGAGAAATACCGAATCTCTCCTTAACCCCCCCCCCCCC